CGGGGCGGGGCGGGCCGAGTGAGCGGAAATAATTTTCTGTTTGGTCCTCTCTGCCCCAGTCCCTTAGCCGCGGGACGCGCGAGACGGGCGAGGAAGCCGGAGGCGGGAAGCGGGAGCGGGAACGTGCTGCCCTGGCATCCTTAGAGGAGTGGAGACGGGGCGAGCAAGGATTGAGAGCCTACTGTGTGTCTTAGCGTTTTACAAAAGGATTTTCGTTAAATCTTTCCTATAGCTCTGGCCAGAGAGAGTTAACGCCCCTTTTAAGAGAGACAAGCTGAGCCTCTGATAAGTGAAGACAGTCGCTGAAAACTGCACACCCAGGATCAGCGTGACACCCCAAATCAGCGCTAAGTTATGCCAAGGAGACCATGATAAACTTGAACCACTTGTTGGCCTAGTCCCGCTTTTGATCGTGTGTGTGGCGAGGTGGGGGTGGGGGGAATAAGCACATAGTAGGTGATCAAAAAAATACTAGAAGATGGAGAATGAGTTTGACAGCTCAGCCCTGGGAATATTCACCGCGAATCCAGCTTAGCTCGCGGGCCACCGGGTTTCTCGGGTCCTTGGAAAGGAACTTTCTTAGTGGGCGAGTGCACATCCCCGTTCAACACAGGCATTCGTCCAACAAGTGGCGGAGGAGCTCCAGCCCTAGCGAAGGACAGACAGAGTTAAAATCTCCGCTCTGCCTTTTTCCAGCTGTGACTTTGGGCAACTCATTTCCTCCACTGGAACCTCAGTTGCTCTATCTATAAAATGGGGATATTAACACCCATCCCAAAGGGTTGTGGGAGGATTAAACAAAACAATGTTTCTAAATACACTTGCTAAATGCAAAAATATCGTAGCGCGTTCATCCCACAGGTTTCCGGCAGTGGACCCGCACCGGGTGAAGACCCAAGACAAAGACTTCTCGGTCCGAGTCACCAGGTCGCCCAGCCCTAGACGCAGGGACCATTGGGCCTTCGAGTAACCCTCGTCCCGCGAAACCCGAAACTGCGACCACCTTGGCCGCAGTCATTCCGAAAGCAAATATTCAAATATTGCGAAACTGGCGCATGGCTAGGGCTGACATTTTTTGCGTTTTTCTTTAAGTTTTATTCTTGTCAGTAAAAGTAATTCGTTAGACATTCCTAAGCAAGACTTCTAGTCTGTGTCGTGTTGAACTTTTCGTATGAACGAAGTTCACAAAGCGGACTACGATACCCGCGCGTGGCAATCCTCGCAGGGATCCTAACCTTCGGAGCCGCCCCCGACAATCCCCTGGCTCTTGGATCCCTCCTCAACACACGGAAGCGGCAGACAGGCCTTTCCCCGGCCCCGGTCGTTTAGATAGAGCCTCTTCATCCTGGCAGCCCTCCGAGATTCTCGAGTCCCTGCAGAAGCAAGGGGAGGTAGGGGCTACAGCCCAGAACTCAGCTTCTCAAATCTCCCCAAACTCCAGCCTTGCCGGGATTAAGGGAGTAAATCCCTGACGCCACGGACCAGGTCAAGGACAAGTTCTCCCCCGCCCTACTCCCCCGTCTTGGGCGAGGATTCAACCCCCTTCCCGGATGAAAGGTACTAAATAGACGCAAAGGGAGGGGTGGCGACGGGCCCGGGCCCCTTGATGTTCCGGTTGAACAGGTGCTGGTGAAAAGGAGGCGGTCCCGGCGGAAGAGTCAGCCAGGGGGGCAGTGCGACGAAGAGGGGGCAGCCTCCTCCACCCTCAGTCCCCTGCGGGTCTTCTCCTTTCCTCTCCGTCTGCCCCTCCCCCGCAGGAAGCGTTCCCGGCCGCGAGGTCTTTGAAGTGTAGCTGATGCCCCCAAGGCTGCCTTTTCCCCTCCACCACCCCACCTCCTGCTGAGGGAGTGTGACCTTTAGTCCCTGCGGGCGTCCACCCCTTTTTAGGAAGTAACGGGGAGGGGGGGAGGCGGGGGGCGGGTTTCGTACCCCTTGCCCACACTGGTCTTGGAGAATAAAGCCTTCGGGCTGACATCCTCACTTCTTTCCAGACCCAATTTCAGGGACTTTAATCCTTTGGATTGCTGTGTGTGTTTATGTTGTGTATTTGTGTGCGTGCCTAGAGGTCAAGTGTAACTTGTTTGTGAGCACTTCCGTAGTCGTGGGTCTCTAAATAGTGTAGGTCTCTAAGCTCGCCTGTGGACCTGGGGTTTGTGTCTCCCTGAGAGGTGCAGGTGGTGTGGCTGGATGTGGCTAGGAGTGAGTTTGTGTGACTGGGCGCCTCGGTGTGCCTGTAAGTTATGAGTCTCTGTGCGTGCGTGTGTATGTATGTTGTGTGCGTCTGTGAACTGGACCGGAAGCTCCCCGAGGGCAGGAATACCTGTTTTGTTCATTGCTCTATCCAGCAGCTGCACATAGTAAGCATTCAATAAATACTTGTTGAATAAACAAATGTCTGCGTGTGAGTAACCACCCTCCAGAAGGGCCTCCGAGGAACAAGCCCACAAGCGGCCATCTAAAGAGACCCCCGGACACCGAGGGCGAGAGACCCACGTTGCTCCTGCCCTTTCTAGGACCCTTTCCCCTACTCCCCACTTCCAAGTTTCCTGTCCAATAATAACACCCAAGACGAAGACCTGGGCGGAGGGGCTGGAGATTCGGAGACCCGGGGCCAAGACAGAAGGGTAGGCAGAGGGAGAGCTCGGGAGCGCCCACCGCGAACCACAGAAAGAAAAAGAGAGAAAATCAGCGCCGAGAACGAGCGAGGGAAAAGCTCCCTACCAAGCCAGGCTTTGTTCCCTGAACCTAAGACTTTACCCGGCGGCGGGCGCCCGGGAGCGGAGGAA